TGATTTTTGGTCCTTAAGTGGTATTGAACTACAGACCTTGTGATTGTGACCTGGGAGCATTACCACTGTGCTATTGATCCACAAGTTCAATTTTTATTAAATTACTAATAAATAAGTTTATAATAAACTTTATTAAATTATTAATAAAATTTTTTGTGAATTATTTATGAATTATTAATTGTTAAACATTTTTTACTATTTTATTGACAATTTATTATTGAATTTTTAATTGCCAAATTTTTTATTATCAAATTTTTTATTGTTAAATTTTTGATTACTAAATTTTTGATTGCTACTTTATTATTAAAATAGTATTATATTGAGTAATAGCAATTAAAAAGAATTTGTCAATATTTTTATTACTAAATTTACTCAAATTTGATAATTATTTAACTGTTAAATAATATAATTTTAACTAGTATAGATATATTATTTTATTTGAAAAGTAAGTAGATATACTGTATCTAGAACAAGTTAGGTTATTATTAATTTATATATATAATATATAAAATAATTAATATAATGCTTAAAATTTAATTATTAATAAAAAGCTTGTATCTAATTTAATTACAATTTAAAAAAAGTTAAAAAATAGAATAAATTTACTTATTTATTAGAATTGAATAATAAAAAATAAAATAAATAAAGTATAAAAAATTTTTAAAAAAATATTAACAATGAAAAAATATAAAATATTAAGTTAATAAAAGTTTTAATAAAAAATTTTAATAAAACACTAATACAAAATATATTGAAAAATTATATTATTAAAAATATAAAATTTAATAATTATAATTATTTGATTAAATTATAATTACTTATTATGTAATTTTAATTATAAATATCAAAAGATAATAAGTTTATATTATATTATTATTTGATTTATATTAAAATTATATTTGTAAATTATTATAATAAAATTTTTAAAAATATTTTAGAAAATTATTATTATATAAGAAATTATTAATAAAATTTTTAAATATTTTTATTTTTTTAAGCCTATAATTGGATCAATATATTATATTTATAAATTATTAAAAACTGATAGAAATACAATTTCTTTCAAAAGTTTGAATCTATTTATTATATAGATAGTTATTTTTGAAGATGACAAAAATATTATTTAAAAATTTTTTGATGATCTTTTTTGTTTAAAATAATTTAAATTATTTTTTTTATTCAGAATTTAAAATATTTATATTTTTATTAATATATAGTTAAATTTAATAAAAAAATATTTATTTTAAAGCTTATATTATAAGCTATTATTTAAAAAGGAAGGCCTAAATATAATAACTGGATAATAAGAAAATAATATAAATATATTAAATTTTTTAGAATTTGATTATTTTTAAGTTTAATTTTTTTAAAAAAATTAATATACTTATATCTTCATCAATATATAATTATCTTTAATATAGAAATATTTGGTTTAAAGATTAGGTCACAAGTTATAATTTTAAAAAAAATTGTTTAAATTTGATTACTAGATAATGAAAAAATAGAATAAATAAATTAAACAACATTTACTTAATTATAGTCTTGATTATATTAATAGGTACAAATTCTATCAATCTTTAAATATAACTTTCTTGAGGATCTAAACTGCATCTTTTAATCTGATCTATAAATTGCCAACTACTACACTATCGATTCATATATCAATTTTTAAATATTTTTTATTATACCTATTTTATAATTTATTTATAATATTTTTTAGATTAAGATTTATAAAATAATATTTTAATAATATAAATATTTTATTAAAGTTTATTGTTTATATCTTATAAATATAATCATAAAATTTTATTGAATTATAAACACAATATAATTTTAACTATTATTTATTATTTAAAAAAATGTAATTTTATTAAAAAAGCCATAATTTTTATTTATCCATCCTAACATGATTTTTTTTTATAAAATGTGTTGAAACTTTATTAGAAGTTAAATATAATTCTATAATTGTTTTTAGTATATACTGTTTAATAAATATCCTCAACAACTTTCCCTTTTTAGATGAAGATTTTGTTTCTTGTAATGTTTTATCATTTAAACGTCGCGAATACGAACTCAATATTAAGATTTTTTACAACAATCGAAATATTTCCAAGCGCAGATTATTTGACTTTGTTCATTTTTAAGAAAGTTCTTTCATTTTGAATTCATTAGGAAAGAGCTTCAAATGTAATAAAAACTAATTAATAATTGCACGAAAATTAGGTTTTCACGTTAATTATTTTAATGTTAATTAAATATAAAAATTAAACATTTTCTTTTTTCACCTTAACACAAAGGCAAATACTGTATGCTACACGTGCAAACCGGATGTTATTCTCTGCAGCTACCATGCATATGTACTGGTGTACAACCAAAATACCATAACGCAGCACAGTTTTAGTTCACATAGCATAGCTTTTTACTCAGAAAAGTACTTACATGAGTACTTTGGATAAAAAGATAATCGTTAACACTTCATGCGACAATGATAAGTCGCAAAAGAGATATGTAACCAGTATGTCGAAGAAAGGTCAAAGGGAAAAAATACCAATTTGATTCTTGACTTAATTTTTCAATATTTAGCAAAAAAGCAACAAAAACTGGAGTACATTATTAACTGGTGCTTAAATAATAAAGTAAATTCTACTGCGCAAATTATTCTTGCAAGTTATTATCGCTTTGGTAGATGTGTTGAAAAAGACGAACGTAAGGCATTTAAATATTATCAAAAATCTGCTGAGATGGGTGATAAAGACGTCATGTGTCACGTTGGATATTGCTATATCTTTGGAATTGGAGTAGAAGAGGATGAACACGAGGCCTTCGAATATTTTCAAAAATCTGCCGAGATGGATGATGTAAATGGGACTTATACAGTTGGAGATTTCTACTACAACGGAATTGGAGTTGAAAAGGATGAACATAAGGCATTCGAATATTATCAAAAATCTGCTGAGATGGGCCATGTGGTGGAATATACAACATAGGCTATTGCTATTACAATGGTATCGGAGTTGAAAAGAATGAACATAAGACATTCGAATATTATCAAAAATCTGCTGAAATGGGCCATTCGTTAGGAATAAATAATGTTGGCTATTGCTATTCCCAAGGGATTGGAGATACAAAAGGATGAACATAAGGCATTCGAATATTATCAAAATTTGCTGAGATGGGGAATGCGAGCGGTGCATTTAATACTGGCAATTGCTACCGAAAAGGTGACGGAGTTAAAGAGGATGAACATAAGGTATTCGAATATTATCAAAAATCTGCCGAGATGGGTCATGTAATTGGAATGAACGTACTTACTATGTGTTATTGAAATGGAATCGGAGTTACAAGAAACTTGGAGATGGCTACACATTGGTATCAAATGTAAGCAATCGATTTGGATAAAATGATTCTTTAAAATAATATACGATGACATATACTGTACATATTATTACATAATTAGGGAATGAAATCAATTATTAGGTAATTATATTAACTAGTCACTAATCATTTTATATACGTAAATACAGTAAACTAAAATATACATTCTTAGCAAAAAAACTCTGGTGATTATGATGATTATGATGATGAGATAAGGGAAATATTAGCTAAAAATAAATACCCATTATTGTGGATTCCCTATAAGGAATTTGAGGGTATTAAAGAAATGGGAAAAGATGGATTTGCAACTGTATATTATGCTAAATGGCATAAAAGAAATGTCTTTGTTGCCCTCAAGTTACTTCATGGATCAAAGGGTCACCGCAAGGAATTTGTAAACGAGGTAAAATTTCTATATTTTAGCTTAATTATTTGATGGCACAACATGTTTTAATAATTATTCTTCTACACCAAAGTTAAAGTCATTGTGTAATATTGGTCACAAGAATCCTACGTTTTTGAGATGCTATGGAATATCTCTGGAGTATGTTTCTAAGGATTATGTTCTTGTTATGGAAATTGCAATGATGGGTTCTTTGCGCAAGAATCTTTATCATGTTTTACATATGGAATAGAAAATGAAATTAAAATTGCTAGATTGCATCGCTTCTGATCTTCAGATAATTCATTCAGAAAATTATATTCATCGAGATTTACATAGTGGCAACATACTATTACAGAAACATTGCATAGCGCATACATCTCTGATTTGGATCTTTCGATATCTATTAATGTGGAAAACGAATCTAATGAAATCTTTGGAATTTTACCATATATAGCACTAGAAGTTTTATGTGGTTTGGCATATACCCTAGAATAAGATATTTACTCATTCGGCATAATTATGTGGGAAATTTCTTCAAGAAGAGCTGTGCCTTTCGATAACTCGTCCCAGAGCGATTTTCAAATTCAAGTGTGTAATGGCTCACGACCTTCAATCGTCTCTGGTACACCACAATGTTGTTGGGATAAAAATGTCTCAAAACGTCCATCTACGAAAAAGATTTATGAAATTCTCACAGAATAGCAAAATAAAAAAATTCTATCAGAATTATCAGAATCTAATAAAATATTAAAAAATAAAGAAAATAAAAATATGGGAACTAGAAATATGGAAAACATTCCTGAAGCCGTTAATAAAAGTGAATTTATTCCCTACACGAAATCATATGATAGGGTAATAGACTCTTCTTTGTGATGTTTAAAAGTCAAATCGAAGGAAGACCCACAAGTCGAAAGTTTTACCAAAAGTAAATCTACAGGATTAACTATACAATTCAAAAGACGATTATCTCTTTCTGCAGAATCTCAGGAGAAAGTTAAAATCTTAAAGTTAGATGAATCAACCGAGTCCATGGAAATAGACAACACTGACATTGGTGATACTATTTAATAGATATTATTTAGTGTATTTAGTTGGTATTTCTTTGTACGGGTGTTATTTTATTACAATTTCCCATATACGTATATTGACTTCACTGTAGTTAAAAAAATTAAATTGCATAGACTGTATTCACTATGGGCCCTGAAATATTATTTAATTATTTTTAATGATATGCCTCTTTCTTATATTATGTCTCAATAATTATGAAAATATTGTAAAAGTTTGCTTTTATTCGGGTCCAATTTTATTATAAAAATGAAACGCATTCAAATTTATAAATTCGTATAAGGTATAAAAATAAATAAAAGCTTATTTCTCAATTTTAAAAAGAATAATATATATATGTGATATAATTAATTTTTAAAAACTTTAAAAGGTAGAATTATAATGAAATTACTATGTTTTTAGATAGTAGTCAATAAGATCAATTAATGGTAGAATTAAGATAAAATTACTATATAGCAATATCAAAAATTCTATTATATGTATAATATATACTATACATTAGTTTATAGTCAAATAGTACTATAAAAAGCCAATAACAATTTTATTTTAATTTTTTTTTTTGAGTGGCAAACTTCGCATAGATGCGTGATTTTATTGATATATATTGACATCAAATATCTTCTACTATATATACACATGTAGAGTTAACACTGCCTATAACTAAGTATAGCTACTAAGTTATCCCTTTTAACCCAATATACATTCATTTAAACACCATCAGGGGTGTGACCACACATCAGGTGGAATCTTGTGCAAGAGTGGAAGTCCTACCACTAGTTTAAACTATCATCTACTGGATTCTACTAGGTTGTTAGGAGTATGTACCTTTTAGGATTGGTTGGAACACCTGGATATCCCATTCAATACTCTTCACTTGAAGCCTCGTAGAAGGTACTATACTCATTCTCACCACCTGCAGCTTCAGATCTTTCTTTTCATCAGATTGTCTTTTTTTAAGCAAGTGCCAGATTAAAATAGTCTCAAGCTAAGGTATTTTTTGTGCTATGGAATCTGTTATACCAGGGAAGTTGTGGACTTTTTATGAAAGTTAAACCAGAAGCCTTTTCTCATGCAACTTTTCTACTTTGATTTGTTTTCAACTTGTGATCATCAGAAAGATCAGAGGTCCCATTTTCATGCAACATAACTAGATTTGATCAAGATCTGGATGTTTTGGGTATAACATATAAAGGAAAATAAATAAACCTAGTATAAAGGTAATTTGCATATTTTTTCCACTTACGGATATTGAATTAGGAACTTGTGCATAGGACCTGGAAGTATTACCCACTGTGCTATTGACCTACAAGTCACCAATAACAATTTTATTAAATATATATAATTCAATTTTTATTAATATTTTTTTTAATAATATAAAAAATCTTTATTTCAAAAATATAAAGCTCTATTTTATTGAATTTTATTTTATTTTTTTTTTAATATCCATGGTCAGGCCAGTACTATGTATTTATTAATCATTGAGAAAACTAATTGAGATACATAGGGCAATTGCATTATAGCTAAACTAAAATCCCATACTGACACACTTGTCAATGGCTTTCAATTTTCAAAAGAGCTTCAGCCTCTAAGTGTAACCTTGGGAGCAATATTTTACTCTGAACTAAGTTTTGGGTAAAGACCTTTCTAACTTACCCATCATTGCTAGCAGGTTATCACTGTTTATTATCTTCCAAGAAACTGAATTCGAGAAACTACAAAAGGGGAAAGGGAAAATAAAAGGTAAGGGAAATATCTAAAAATGTGCAAACATATTACATGAAGATGAAAAAAAAAAAAAGAAATTTAAAATTGCTCCATGTCCTCCAAAGGACCTTGGCTAGAAACCTCTTCTCATTAGGAATCAACCCTTCTGGGATATCCTTCTTCTTTCTGACCATCTAGAAACTTATTCATCCATGCTCTTGATTATTTTCTTGTGACTGTCTGAGGTACTTATCACCTACTCAGATCCAGTGTCTTGCTCAATGCTTTCTTTCTTTCAGTCTTAATTTTTTATTCACCTGCGCAATACAGAATGGCTAATGCTGGACTCCAGATTCTTATGTGGCTTTTCAGTCTTGTTATGTAACTTTCAATATCTTCCAGCAGCCACACCTAGTTAAAGGAATTTTACTGATGTATATCTTCTATTACTCAAAAAGCCAGATTCTCCAATACTATTTTATTAAATTTTATATAGATACTATATATATATTTAAATATATAAAGCAATTTTATATACAATTTTTCATATATTTATATTTATAACTTACAATAAAATCAATTAGAAATAAAGTATTTATTATTAATACTATTGGAAAATATTTTTTATTTTCTTATAACTTATTAATTTCTTATAAAAGAATTAATATATTTAAATAAAAATGTTAAAAATAGTTTTTATTCTTTGATAATATTTATTAGTCTTTTGAAAAAATATTTTTTCTTAATCTTTATATAAATTTTATTTTGAGAATTTTTTTATATTTGCTTTTTTTATTGTTCAGTAATATCTATAATTTTTTTTAATTTAAATTTATAAATAATTATTTACTTAAATCTTATATATAAAAACTTTGATATTATTATTTGAGTAAATTAATTAATAGTTTTAATAATTTATTTAATATTTTAAACTTTTTCCGCTAATCCTCTGACCACACACAAAAAAGATATTCACAAAAAGTTTTTATACTTCTTTGCTAATAAAATCTTAATACTTTCATTAAAACAACTTGAAGTATGACTTCAAGAGTTGCTTCTATCCTTTCCCTTTTGTTTATAAACCTCTTCACTCAAAAATATGACTTCAAGTGACCAAGAAAAGTAGTAACACCTTTGATACCAATGGCAAAAAAGTTTCCAAAGGAAGAAGAACTAACTGTGAAGTACCTGAAGGCCTATTCAATTTTTGAAGCAAGAGGTATATAGAGGTTTTTGATAATAGAAGGACTTATTTTTCCCTTCCAGTTACTTGTGGGCCTCTTAGAGCTATCACTTTCATGGTTTTCTGGGGAATTTTGCCTATCTCAGTTTGATCCTAAATTTTTGGTAGCACAAATCCTCATAAAAGGTGATTGGCTAACACAAAACACATTAGTTTTTGAAATGTAAACAAGCTCCTATTGGTCACATTCACGTGTTCTGATAACATCATTGGTGATTGAAAAGAAGATTCTGAAAATGTTTGTCCCCAATAAAGCTTAAGTCCCTCAATGAAAACTTTTATAATACCTAAAGACCAAGCGATGGGTAATATGGATTGCAAACTCTTATCTCTTACCTAAGTTCCTCAAATGGTGACAAAGCTTTAATAAAAAAAAGCTGAGATTTAAATGCTTTTCTTGAGATATCTTAATTTGGTGCTCACTTAAATGAAAGACCAGTTGGATTGACTCATCCAATACTGCAGGTGATGAAAAAGAAGATTTCTTCTGAAGTCCAAGTAAAGCAAGAAGACTATCCCAATCAGGCAGATCCCTTTTGAGAAGAGGTTGTTTTTATTTTTAGATTTTTTTTGGTGAACCTTGAATTGTTCCCTTTCCTCAATTCTTTTTTCCCTTCCCCTTTTTAACTTAGCAATTAATTGATTTTCGGGCAATCTACTGTGACAAACTGTTAACAATGATCCTGGTAAATAGAGGTTATTATCAATCTATTAGCAAAGTGAAATATTGTCTCCAAAATCAGACTTAGAGTACTTTTGTATGAAGATGAGTTAGTCACTTTGTGAAAGTCTGTAAAAATATTGTAAATTCATTTCAATTTTTCAATAAAGACATGCCATTGTGGCATGATTGCAAGTTAAAATATACAGTATATATATATATATATATAATTTATTTAATATTTTTTTCTAATAAAAATATTTTGAATATTATTTATTATTAAATAATTTATAATATTATATTTAATATTAAATATTTTTATTTAATTTTTATATTTAAATAGTTATAATAATTATATTATTTATATTGATTTTATTATATTTATAATTAATCAAAATAGTTTTTTAGAGAATTTTTAATACTGATCCTTTGACTATACACAAAAAAGATATTTATAAGAAATTTTTATATTTCTTAACAAATAAAATCTTATAATTTCCTTAAACCAACTTGAAAGAACACTTTAAGAATCATTTCTATCTTCCTCTTTCTTCTTATAAAAATTGTCTTCAAACAAAAACCTGACTTTTAGTAACAAAAGTTATAAATACACTTTTTCATCAATGGCAAGAAAATTCTAAAAGAAAGAAAAACTGAAGTGTTGCTGTTTACTCACTTGCTAGAAAACAATATAGAACTTTTCTAGTGATAAGAGAATTATCTTAAAGGTAATTATTCACTCTCTTGTTATATACTTACTCTAAGAGTATTCTTTCTCAGTTTTTTTTGAAAAATTTTGCCAATCTTAGTTTGATCCTAAATTTTAAGTAGCACAAAGTTTCTCAAGCAATAATTGATTAGTAGAAACTTTTATATCAATTTAAGAAACAATATCCTAACTTTTTAATATAAATTATATACTATCATTATCAATACTAGTACAAAAAAATCTGAAACTACTTCTGAATACTTCACCATCTATATCTTTCAATACCAACACTAGTCGAAAAAAAATTATTCAACATACTGCCACTCGTGTAGCATTCAGCAAAAAATACTACCACTCATGTAACATTTAGCAAAAAATAAACAATTTAGTAAAAAAAAATGATATAAATAAATCGGCAACTACAAAAATTGACAATCAAAACTATTTATTAAAAATTCGTCCAAAATTCATCAACTATTCATCCACTATTCGTCAACTATTTGTCAACTATATTTGCAACTATTCGTCAAAAATTTGTAGACCATTCGTCAACCATTCGTCAACTATTTATCAACTATTCGTCAACTATTTGTTAACTATTCGTCAACTATTCATCAACTATTCGTCAACTATTCGTCAACCATTCGTCAACCATTCATCAACAATTCATCAACTACTATTCATTA